GCCAAAAATTTTTTTTTTTTTTTTTTTTTTTTTTTTTAAGAAAGGCATTCTAATAATGACCGTGTCAGGTGATTGGGAAAAAAGTAGTAATACCAAAAACACTAAATACCTGCAAATTAATATTGGACTTGTTGGCAGCAGTTTCATCTTTTGAAGCAACTTTCTGCTGTTTTTTATTCATCCCTGTTCCACAAAAAGCAACAGTTATGTCAAGCAATTATACATTTATTGCCTATATTTATGTAGAAAGTAGAGGAGTTTTGCTCGTAAAGGTTTTAAGACCTGAGTAGCCAAAGGATATGCTTGATAATGGACTGAGATAGATTCCACTCCCATAGATAGCGCCATGGAGCTGCGAACAAAACAATGATTCAGTATGGCATTGAGTTAAATCATTGCAAACTCTTTTACTTCTCAAAATATGTTTGGTGAAATATGTTTGCAGAAATACCCAGTAACCTCATACAGTACACACAACTGGATTTAAAGACATTTAAGATTTATATTTTGGTATAAGAAACATCCAGTGAATAAACCTCTTAAGTTCCTTCTTACATAAATTTAGAGATGTGGTGTAAAAAGGTCAGTGTACATCAGTCTGCTCAGATGTTTAAGAGGTTTACATAATGCATTATGCATGTATGTATACACTATTACATCTTACTACAGCTATTTCTACTATAAAAAAACAGCTTCATCCACACTTCATCTCAGCTTGTTTTCTATAAAAACACCTTTCCCCTCAACCCTTTTTATGATCGGTCTCTTTAAAGAACCAGACACCATAAATTTAGAGATGTGGTGTAAAAAGGTCAGTGTACATCAGTCTGCTCAGATGTTTAAGAGGTTTACATAATGCATTATGCATGTATGTATACACTATTACATCTTACTACAGCTATTTCTACTATAAAAAAAACAGCTTCATCCACACTTCATCTCAGCTTGTTTTCTATAAAAACACCTTTCCCCTCAACCCTTTTTATGATCGGTCTCTTTAAAGAACCAGACACTGTGGGTAATGCATCTGCATCATAATTAGATGCAAGTACCTGAAGCCTCGTGTTTGATGCCACGACCAAACCATTCCTCAAAATGGAGTGCCAGTTTTCTATGTGTGATCCACTGAAAGAGAGAGGGAGAAAGAGCCAGTCAGTTTGTCTTTTTAAAACTGGAAAATCAACAACCAGTGTTCTCAAGTCAGCAAGAGACTTCACACCTGTACAGCTGTGGCTTTAATTAGACTTGTGCAAAAGACAGATTTGAATTCTATGACTTGCTTGCTGCACAGTTGAAAAACAACTGAACTAGTTAAGACAGCTGGAACTGGATTCCTTTTATTGTGACATTGAAACATACTTCCAAATTTAGAATATTTATTATTAGTGGACATAATCACAATGCCATAAAACATTTGAAGTAAGAAATTATTGCTTTTCTGTTATGTCTTGCAGTGCAAACCAGGCTTGTGGCATCTACAACATTTGTTCAGCACACCCACAGACCATTCACAGACTGCCTGATTGACATTGCACACAAAACTGCCAAGAGCTTGCCAAAATGGCAAGAATGGACAGATACTGTAATATACTTAGGGACCAGATAAAACACATTTTCCTTGTCATGAATCATGAATTTGTAATGATGTGGGTCAGATTTGAAGATTCATAGGTAAATGCTGTATTGGGTGTTTAAATGGAACTCACTGGAAAGCAAAGGTACTCCCAAAGAGGCCTTTGGCAGCTCTAAAGTTGGATTCTTTGGCTGGTGGACTGCTGAGCAGGAGGAACTGATGGGGTGTGTGCATGAACTTCAGTTGCTGTTGTGAGAAAAACAAGATGCAAGAGCATACACTTGAAACGTTAAGCCTTACTCATTTTCTGAATTTAAAACTTTTCAAATGCTTTCTAAATGAGTCATGGTTCTCTCTTAGGGAGGTGATGCCAGTTAGTCTAACCTAGGGATGGGTAAACTTCCCAAAAAGATGATATTGAGATCTTATCGCACAAAACCATGATCTACCAATTTTGAGATGCATTAATGAGAATATCCAGACTGGAACGAGCCTATCTGTTTGAACACCACAGTATTGCATTAAACAAACAAAATGGACATTAAAGCCCGAGTTAAACTTTAAAACACTGCATCACTAGCCATGTTTCCATCCACCTATTTTTATGCGCATTTTGGAATATCGCATTTAAAAAAATGCTGGATGAAAACGCCAAGATGCGCATAAATTCTAAAAATGCGCATTAAAAAAAATTATGTGCACATTTGAGTAGGACAAACTTTTTATCCGATAAGAAAAAATGTGCATAAACTAAGATGGAAACACATTTACCGAATAAATTCCTCCATGCGCATTGAAAAAGTCATGTGACTTTGAGCTATGAGACAGGATAACTTGACTAGCAGCGGACCGATCTCGATCACAGCATCTATATGTTGTTATGGTCATTCTGAAATGCCTGAGCAAAGTCTGTCATCAAAGTATTTCTGTATAATTGTCTTACACGACTGCGTTCCCAAACGGCATTCACCTCCGAAAGCATTGACTGCATTTATTGTGTTTCGTCTGCTCGCACTGAGGCGCAAGTAATTTATAATATATGAAAAATATCCTTCTCCTAGTTTTCTTAGTGATATTTAGTACCAGTTTGCAGGAAGTGAGGATTTTGTTCTCTTTGACTCGTTGGATGGAAATGGTGCTTTATTCGCAAATGTTTTATGCAATATTCCAGTTTTGTGCATAAGTTTAATTCGAATCTTTGGATGGAAACATAGCTACTGTATGAAACAAATATACACTGATTCATATGAATATTATACAGTGATCTAGTCAAGAGCAGAGAGTGATTTTCACTGTCTTTTGTTCTTTGATTAACATTTATGACACAAGAGACAGAAGAAGGTTTATTAGGATGCTGTCTCTTTAAGGTAGAATGTACAGATATAAGGAACAGGCTCTTTTCCAGTCAACGTGCTCTTTTTAAAATAAAGCGTGTCCCACGGTAGACTGCATTTTATGACAGTCACATTACATAATTGGACTGATTTGGAAGTTGAAAAACCTGACACTAAAATTTGATTTATTCCACTACTACTGCTAGCTCACTTTGATTAGTTTTTTTTTAAATGTCACCACACATAAAAGACACATGATAGAGATGTGTGATATCATTTGACCAGCCACAGTCATCTACTAGTAGGCAGTCATTGCTGTAGTTTTAACATTATTATGAGGACATAAAAGATCATGATCTCTACGATTTCCTTGAAAAGTTGATCGTAGACATCTTCAAGATCGATCACCCCAAGTCTAACCCTGATCATCTTAATCTAGATCCCAGAAATGTGCACATTATGGCGGCATTTGATAACAGAAATATTCAAGGACATCATTACAAATGCTTAATAAAATAGATACAAGACTTACTCTAGTAACAGGAAGCTTCACTATGTGTGATCTGTTACTGGAAATCACCCTGTAAAGAAAATGGATTTATGAATCACGTCATATTCCCCATTAGGTTTGAAACCTTCTACTGCAGGACTATAGATGTATTTCAATAAATGAGTAATAGCTAATATCATAAAGATGGATGTACACACTCTCCAAGACCATGTAATCGGAGCTGTTAGGAGAGCTCACCATCACATTTACACATCGTTAAAATGCAGGAGTGGAGTAGATAATGACTGAAATGTCATTCTGTCATACCACTGCAGCAGTGGGTGAGCCAGGGGATCATGCTTGTCCATTTGTTTCTTTATCTCCAGGTATGGAGCCTGTGCAGAAGACATGTCAACAGTCAACATGTTATTGCATTCTGTCAAGGCTTATAAATTAGGTATAAAGCACTGGATGATTTCTCTCAAGTCTTATGCTACACATGATATAGGGATTGTAAACAACTAGGGCTGTCCATTTAATGCAATTTATTATTATACTTTTATATATATGATTCATTTATGAAATATGACATTAGATTAAATAGCATAATAATAAATACAATTATTAAAACCACTCTATTTTAATTGACTGACGCCTTCAAAACAATATAACAATCACAGAAAAAAACCATGCTCTTGTTGTAAAATTCTACTTGATACCTGGGTCATTTCTCTGAAAGATGCGATACTGTCAAGTGCTCTCATCACTCGGTCATAGTCCTTTTTCTGAAGAAGAACTCAAACAATCAATGTAATATTCCTTTCTGAATAGCAGGGTTACACTAAAGAGACGGATCAAGCTAAAGTTAAATGCTCTTAGTGTTTTAAGTACCCTGGGGTTGAAGGCAAGTGCTTGTGAGTCATTGGGATCCACCACAGAGGGATATGGCTCAAAAATGACAACTTTCCTCGGAGACTCCAGTGCAGATCGGCACATGGAGACCAGTAGGTCTACTACCTGTAATCACAAACAGAAACTGTAAGCTATTTGGTTAGAAGCATCTGTGCAGAATGACTATATGAGTGCTTACAGTCAAGTATGTCTATTTTGGTTGTTTGTTTGTGTACCTGAGCACCAGTGGCAATCTCATCAGCAGCTTCATTCATGACCCCTAACGTCTGGAAGGCGAATACACATAACTCTCTCTCACACACTGTGGGCTGTAGGACACATATAAACAAGATCATTAGAAGTGAAATGTTATTAGTAATCCAGAATTAATCCAAAGAATTCACATCATCTATCAATCCAAGATTGCTAGTAGAGCAAACAGACTCACTCTGAGCATTGGTCCATTTTGGAACACGTGAGGTTCATCGCAGACCACACAGAACTCATTCAGTACAGGGATACGCTGCTCTGCATACTCCATAGTCTGCAATTACACATCAAGTCAACACATACAGCATCCGTTCAGTAACATTTCTTCCCTCTATAATAGTAATACAACATCAGCAGCTGCCAGAAGAGCTCCACCAAATCCCTAATACAAATTAAAAGGACAGTTCACTGAAAAAGAATATATTTTCATCAGGTTTGAAACAACTGTAAGGAATGTTTCCTGAAATGTTCCTTGCACATTCAGTTTTGGTCATAAGAATACTAATGACTGGAGAATGTCAACTACTGCAACCAATCACATGCCCTCAAGCTCAGTTTGCTTCAGGAAAGGATTTTGCATGTATTTGCAAGTAAAAGAGTTGTATTAATCAGACCCCAAATATTGTTTGATTAATGAATTAACTTAAGGCAAAGGGGGAAGTATAGATTTTTTTTTTTTTTACCTGAACAAGGAAACCTCTGTCTCTGAATGGAATGGATTTGGCTCCGATGTTTGGCTACTCAAGAAAACAGACCTCCGGTTTAACAGCGGTCGAGCAGGGCCTCGACAGCAGTCGGTGGGGTTGCTTGAGGGGCTGATGTTGCTCCATCCGTGGGTCACTAGAGAGGGAATGGCCCAGGAGCTTGTGCGACTTGCCGACGCAGCCATCCATTTCTGGCTTCACCGTGCCGGAGCATGTTCGCCGTAACAGACGGTGGGATTTCGACATGCCATCCTGCTCAGGTTTGAGCTTCTTTTTGCTCTTCACACAGCCAGGAGGAGGGTAGCTGGGGGATCTGAGTTTGCACAAGCACAGCACATTAATCAAACAATGTGAATTAAGGAACACAGAAAGATGTTGTGCAATTACGCTTGTGCAAATCCTGCACATTTCAAAATGCTTCATTGGCTGATTTACACCATTTCATTTTTCATGTTGAGGTCTGCATAGTTCGCAGTGGAAATGCGTGTTTTTTTGCACTAATGAATTACAGTAGGTTGTGCCAAGGTTAATGAGATACAAAGCATTAAGCATTGTTGACAAATGGCTTCACCGTTTTTTCTGCATCTTAAATTTCATTTCTGGATAATTTTATTATTCATTTAAAAAGAACAACACACACAGGTAAGACATTCAGGTAAGATTTCCTCTTTCTGGTTTTAAAACGCCAAACCCAATGTCAATTTCATCAGGGAGTCTTGGAATCTTTCCAATGCAGTGAAACATCAGATTTGTGTCAGCAGTTCCAACAGTTTGATAACCAACCATTGACTCACAATAGGGTCATTCATTAGAATATATAAGCTCTTACATCTCAGACTCTCCAGTTGGTCTAATAAACTCATGAAGACCATGAAGCTGGCACACTTGTTAACATAAAAGTAAATGCTGGTCTTGAAGACATAAGTTTAGCCTAATCACACCAAACGTGAAATGTATGGGGCGGGAAAACGATCACCAAATTTACTCATATACTGTATATGCTGATTGGAAGACAAATTTACTCCAGTAAAACAAAGGACAGAAAACATCTTTATCTAAAGATGGTTATTCAAAAGAAGCCTTATATTGGAATTACAATTACTTTTTGCAAGACACATTTTTCTAAAATTTCATAATTGTAGAAACCCAATCAAACAGATGAACCACAGAAGAGCACACAAACAAGTTTAAGAGTAAGGTTAAGACTGGTAAAAACTTATTCAGAGAATAATTATTCAATGTTTGAATGGTGATTCAATGATTCAATGCTTTGAACTGTTCTGTAATGGCATGCACAAATCAATAATAGCAACAAGTAAGAACAGAAAAAAAATTCTAGAAAGAGTTTAAGTGTTTTAATGTGTGTTGTTAGTTAAATATGTTACCATTCACCAGAAGCAACCAATTTTCTTGGTGAACATTTTTTTGGTCCTGGGTATAAACCATTACAAAGGGGGATATAAAACTCAGGACTAGGGTTGGCCTGTATTTGATAAACTGTCCAGTACTGGTGTAGTGGAGTGATTTTGTTTCTTACCTGCGTAGAGTTGAAAAAATGTGCAGGGGAGACTTCACCTTCTTCTCGTTTTGCTTTTTGCTGTGCGGGCTGATGAGTTTATCTTTGCTCTGACACTTCCACTGCTGTGTGACAAAGGTTTGCATTACCCTGCCAAGAGACGACACACTCATGAAGTTTAATGACACTAGAAAACCCTATATAAGGCTAGAAAACATTTTCCAGTAGTTTCCTACTTTTTCAACTGATGTCCAAGTCCAAATCTGTCTTTTGAAGACACTTGGAACACATCAACAGTGGGAACTGGAAACGGGACATGACATTTTCCATGAGAAAGGTATTGCAAAACAAAGTACCACATGATGTAACCATTTGCTACAGACGTTTGATTTGGAGGTTTTTAAAACACTAGAACAGAAGGTCACTCTGAAATGAGCCACTTATGATGGGCAATATCTTGGAAAGGGAACAAGAGCAGGCATTACGGCCATGTCCAAGTAACTTCTCTCTTTCTCCTGCAATCTGAACTGAAGTGGTCAAGTTCTTGAGGCAAGTAATTCTGAACAAATCTACAATCAACAGAGAGCGCTCAGTGCAAGGACACTCAGACGACTCTCAAGGAGAAGAACAATTCATATTGTATTTATGCAAAAGGATCACAGAATAAAAACATCTAACAAGGCAAATTGGCCAAATGAGTCTAATATTGTTGACAAGAAAATTATTTGCAGGATTTTCTTAAAGAGTTGTTAACTGTTTTATACATTTAACAAAGTTCTATGTACACCTGGCTGGGAATCATGGCAATAGACTGAAGTTTTGACAGGAATGAAAATGAAGCTGTAAGGGATAGAATTACAATGTTTAACAACAAAATCTTTACAAAATACTTTTTTAGTAGCCAAAAACTCTGTTTTGAAAAACAGGGTGTCTACAGATATGAACAAGTTAAATTTAAGACTTTTTAAGATCTTTTTAATACCACCTTATGTGAAATTTAAGACCAAGCCTGTGATGGAAATACACCATTATATTACATACGTATATGTAATATTTAACGCGTTTAAATGTAAAAAGAAAACAAAATATCATCGCTGTCAAAAATTCGATTTGTTATTACGATATACAGTGAACTTTTCATATCAGCAGACAATATCCCATACAAAATATTCCCACAAAACAAAAGTGTCGCATCACCGAAATTTTTGGTGGTGTAAACAATTTATTCTGAAGCAATACTTTCATCAGTTTTCTATCAGCTTTTACATACTTAAATCTGCATGTTTTTAATATTTACCACAGGATGTCATTTACCTTTATAAAGGCCAATATGTTTTTTAACCTTATTAAATGTATGCGTCATCTTTCGAGTCAAATTCTTACAATTGATCAAGAAATGTAATACAAAACAGGGCTGTTACCAATCAAATTAAATAATTACAAAATTACAACA